TGTTTATCCTCTATTTGATTATGTTTATCCGTAGTTAATTACACGAATTTAAACATGGAGTTTTGATAAGTTGTACTTATGCACAATTTACTTGCAATATTGAATTTTAAGTAATATACTTTAATAAACAGTACTTTATGCATAAAAAAAATTATTTTAAGAGTCTTTGTCAAATGCTTTATAATATAGTATATATAATAATATTTTTTTTATAAAGATAATAATTAAGTATTCTGTTAGAACTCAATAATTATCTTAATTATATTTAGATTTTTTATATTTTAAAATGAGATGTTTATCTTCTATTTGATTATGTTTATCCGCAGTTAGTTATACGAATTTAAACATAAAACTTTAATAAATTATACTTATTGTAATCTTAAATTTTAAATAATATACATTAATAAATAGTATTTAAAAAAAATGTTTTTTATAATATAGTATAGATATATATTAAAAAATAAGGTACCTATTTCAATCCGGAGAAGAACGATAGAAATCACCTTCCAAAAAAGTGACATTAGTCGAGAGATCCATCGCTGCTTACTCCTCTCGAGCTACAACCATGGCCACTTCCTTCCCTTCTCCGACACCTCCGACCACCGGAGTCGTACCTATCACCGGAAGAGGAGGAAAATCACGTGTAACGAGCAGTATTTCACGAGATAACTCAGCAAAAGCTATGGTCAGCGATCAAATCTCACAGGCGGTTCTCTCCACCTCAAATCTCCTCCACATCATGCTTCAATCGTCTCCATCTCAGGCATTTCCAAGTCTCTATCGCTCTTAATGATGCACAGATATACGCTTCCATATATGAATTATAATTATTACATATGCTAGGTATTTCGTCAAAGTAATTAAATAACTCGATATTTGTATCACAATTAGTTTGGGGGAAATTATTTGCAAGAATGCTAATTTGCCTTTATCATTCACACTAGCCAAGAAAACTAACTGTTTCCAATCCCCCTCTGGTACTTTGCGGGTTTCCAATATTGAAGTTTAATGAGATGACTTTTTAGGGGGGTTTTGCGATTGCTCATTTCAAACAACTTATGGTTTTTTATAGAAGTGTTTATCAACAACTTATGTGGTAAAGTGCTTATCAACCTATGTGGTGGTAAACTGAAGTTTTATAAAAAAATGTTTAGATTAGCTTATAGTGGTACCGGATAAGCTAATAAAATAGATGAGATACTTTTTTTATTCCCTCCAAACACTAAAAACTTCTTACTACCATACCATACCGGAATAAATTAATAAGTTAGGAGGGAGTAACTTATCAAAAACGCCTTATTACCGGTGCCAAACCGGTATAAGTATTTCTTTTTTCTCCATCCAAACACTAAAAACTTCTTATTAGTGGTATCACACCGGAATAAGTTAATAAACACTTTAGTTGTCAATTAACATAATATTTAACCGAAGAAGAGGAAAAATGCTCATTTTTTTGGGGTTAAGAGATTCATTTGATTTTTTTAGTTCAGTGGAGCTTTTTGGTTATGATATAACAAATGAGGATTGGGTTTCTTCTTCAAAACCAAATATTTTGCTCCCAAGAGCTACGAGATCACCCCTTCCATTCTGGGGTGACAGAGAGATCATACCATTCGAGCTTTTTACGGGGGTAACCATGGGTATCCGGGCAGGCTTACACCCACTGATTAATCCCCAGGCGATCACAAATGGCCGGGAGTCATGGCAGAACTATATATGCTGCCACTTCTTCTGTTTCTACATCCTCAAAAAGGATACAGAACCATATCATTTATTTATTGAAAAATGGCCTGTTGACCCACAAGTCATAACACATTATTGAACAGGAGATAGTATGAATGTACAAGGGAGTTCTCTTGGATTGATGTTGCGTGCTATTTGACAAGGAAATAGAATAAGATATTGATTTTCATTGTCCCAAAAGTGTATGGCAGACTTGTTTCTTTTTCTCTATCTAAGCAGTCAATAGTTGTGAGATAGTGGTTACAAAATTTCAATATTAAGTTACAAAATCGTGGCACCACTCTTTGCTGCATGATTTGACAGCGGGTTGTGTTTCAAATAGTGGTGTGAATTCATCTTTTTTTTGGGTTATCTTTTCAGATACATTCTGATTTTCAATTATCTGATGTTCTTCATCGCCAGTTACTCCCAACTTCAGACCATACATTTGCACGTTTTTACATATGATCTTTGCCCTCCAAAATCTTCTTTGTTCTTCAACCATATGACCATTGAACAACTTCTCATTTTCACCCTTTGTTAGAAATATGCCACGTGCCAGTGGTTAGTTGTAGTTTAAGTCGGTTAGCTATTTGCTATAAATACATGTGTCAAGCTTCAACTGTAATTCAACAATTCAGTGATAAAATAGCACAGAACAAATTTCTGTTTCTCTCTCGATAATCTCTCTCTAGATGTTAAAACTTTTGTACCTTCCCCTGCTTCTTGGACCCCGTATTCCTTCTCTTGCTTCAGATTCCTCAAACCATCGATATTTCCTGGATTATTTTTATAATACACTTCAGTTTCATTCCCATAACAACTCTTGAATCCAGAAACAGCAGCAGTGGCATTGATCAGTGCATAATCAATGATTTCAACCTGCAATGAACATTTGCCATCTTCAGCATTTTCTTCCGTCATCTGTTCTCTGTGTTTGGAATTTTCACTTTCTGGAAATTACAGAAATATCTCTCAAGTTTATTTAGCAAGCAATAAATGTGGTGATTTAGCAAGAGTACTCTTTTAGACAAAACTATTAAATTGGATGACTTGTCATCTTACTTAACTTTCTAATAATAAGATGAATGACCCTTGATATCATTTATTTATCAAGTAATCTCTTTTAGGTGATTTAGCAAGTAATCAGAATGTTTTGATGTGTGAGACTTGATATGGGTGACTTTATGTATCAGTTTTGATACTTTATCATGAATTTTTTTTATGTTCTGATGTCGAAACTCCATGCTTTTATTGAGTATTATTGTTATATATGTATTACATATATTTAAGTACGACATTTATATAAATATTTTTATTTATTACAAGAGCTGTTTCTTCCTGCTGTACACCTGCTTTTTTTGATATAACAAATCAAGGAGACCTTGATTCCAAATTAGCACCACTATAACTGCTTAATTCTCTATACTGTCTATGTGTGTGTGTTGTGTATATATATATCATAGATGTTAAACTTTCTTTCGTTGTCATGTGATAAGCTGATCATCTATATTATATTATAAAGCATTTGACAAAATCTCTTAAAAACCACTTTTTATACATGAAGTGCCATTTATTGATGCATATTACTTAGATTTCAAGATTACAAATGATTTTGCATAAGTACAACTTATTAAAGCTTTATTTTTAAATTCGTGTAACTAATTGCAGATAAATATAATCAAATACATGATAAACATCCATTTTAAATATAGAAAATCTAAAATATAATTAAGATAATTATTGAGTTTTAACAGAATGTTTAATTATTATCTTTATAAAAAATTATGTTATTAGACCAAAACTAAATTACTTTGTTATTAAATCTAAATTAAGTTATAATAAGAAATTGAATTAAAGAAGTTACACCAAAAAAACGAGAACTACTAAATAGTTAATTTAATACTAATATCGATTTTTTTTTAAATTTTTATGCTATCTTCAAATTTATATTTCATTCAAAAATAAAAACATTATTGCTTTATCAAAACCACATAAAATCGCATTATATTGATAGAGACAAAGAATAAAAACTAAACATTAAAATCGAGATTTATCTCGCTTAATTGCGCGAGTACCCTTCTAGTATATATAGAATATAGGCAAAACATCAGTTTTGGAAAACCTCTGTTCTAATTGCTGCATGCATCGATCATTGTAAAGATCATACTTTATTGCAGCTGTGAGAAATGTAATAATGTAATTTGAATTATTTGCATGGAATTTGAAGTGACTTGTTGAGATTGATCTGACCCTTTTCTATTTGTTGCTTGCTCAGGCTCAGAATGTTTTTATCTTTTTATCTTGCAGGACAAACTTGTAAAGCTTCCTAAAAACCTTTTGGCTAAAGTGCCTACAATAAAGAACACTCAACAGGTTTACAAACAATGATGAATTTCGATACAATATGCTATTTGTGAAAGCTGGTATTCTTATGCCATTCTTTTTGTCTAATACAGGTCTTGGAGCAGATGCCTTCGGTGATTTCATCGTTAGATGAACACATGGACCGTGGGTTGCAGAGGTTCATATCTCCATTTTATCATTCAAATATTCATACTAATAACATGCTAGCTTGTCATAATAGTATTTGATTTTCTGTGGAAGTCCACAATCTATTATATGGAAGTTGAATATGGGAAGTTTAGCATAATAATATGACTCAGAACTCAGAAGTTAATAACTGTAGTAGAGTGTAGGGAGTTCAGCTTAAATAATATGGTTAGAAACCAGAACTTACATGCTAACAACAGCTTTGTGAGTGTAGGTAGTTTAGTGCGACATTAGGATTCAGGAATTTGAAAGCATGCTAGTTCTTATAGTGGGCATAGCCAAGCTGAGGGTAGTAAACAGAACTGAAAATGTACATGTTGCTAAACTGTTGTATGTTTTTTGCTTCCCCTATAATAAAAACAAATTTCTTTCAGTTTTGCTATATCAATGTATCAGAGTTGATATATTCGTCTCAAAGGGTTATTAAATCCTTTACCTTATTTTATTTCATTTTTCCAATGCATTACATTCCATGTTTTCACTTTTTTGTTGCAAAGTTGAAAGGTTTAGTGCATCTTGTTACTGTTTTATATGCTCTTATTTGGTTGTTTATCTGCAATCTACAGTGCGTTTAGTTCAGCCCTCTGGTAGTGTATCTTAGTTTTGCTAAGACACTTCCTCCATAACGCAAGAATCTAGAGTTCTCTTTCAGGGATGTTTCTTAAAAGTAGTTGTATTTTCATTTTTGAAAATCATTTTAGGATAGGGTACATAGTTTTCCTGCCATTTTAATCATTATTAAAGTCATTATTGTCCATTTTGGTTTAAAAGATTTACTTTAATTAGAATGTGTAAGATATTTCCGCAAGTGTGTTTAGACATTAAGCTTTGGTTAATTACTTTTACAAATAGATGTAAGGTCAGATCTCGCTTGTGGGATAGAGGGAGTTTAATTTATGAGATTGGCTGCTCCCAATAGCAAGGGCCAATGCCTTAAACCTCCCAGAATAATGAATTGATTTACAAACGGGATGTTAAAAGTTAAAATCCCCTCTAGGTTGCTTTATATAGCATCCATATTCCCACTTCTGTTCCATGCCGTTATCAAATTTGCCATTTATATTTTAGTCAATGATTAGTGATTCTTGTTTTGACCTACCAAAGTCATGTACATATGGCGGATAGTAGTTCCCTGTGCACAGCTCTGATAACGTAGGAATCAATAATGATAGTGTGACAAAGGTTATTCATCTACAACAGAGAGAGAGAGAGAGAAATACAAGTTCTCTCATTTTCACTATCTACTATCTATAGGCTGTGCTTCATCTGTCTTTGGTCTCATCTTCTCTTGAAGGTGTTCTCTTAGGATACCTTGTGGTTAGGAGTTGTTGCTCCTGAATTACCCCTCTGGCACTGAGGGTCTGTGGGTCAGGTTTTCGTATGGGGTCCCTATACTATAACATATTTGTATTCATTCTCTTTTTTAAGTATATAATATCCATTTATGGCAATTATTCACGTACACTTCTTAACTTTGGTGAGGTTTGAGCCCTTCACCTCCAAGGAGGCTAGGATTTACCAGTAACCCAGATACTGGTTCAATTTTGGTATTTTCTTTTCAAATTATGCAGTATATCCTAAAAAATTTAGTTGGGTTTCTTCTGGACGTTCGGCTGACTTGTTTATTTTGTTGACAGTGTCCCTCATCTTGAAACTGTAACACGGTTGCTAAGCAACATAGAGAACAGCCAGCTCAAGCCCTTAACTGATGCTCAACTCTTGAGAGAGGTAAATGTGTGCACCAGATACCATTTCATTCTTCTCGGAAGACCCAGGAAACTCTGCGGATCACCATCCCATCTATTTACGCACACACCTGCTAATGTTTTCTCAAGTATAATATACGATACTTATATACGAAAAAACTCACACACACACACACTTGTCACCTTCAGTGAGGCTTGAACCCTTCAACCTCCACGGAGGTTGGGATCTACCGCTGATCCGATGACCCTTTGATAAGCCCTTGGTACTTGGTAGTGTGAGATTTGAACCCAGGCCTAGCTGCGTTGACACACCCACAAAAAATGAAGTAATAAAATGTCACAAGCTTATCTGATGTCTTTTATGCAGGAATCTAAACCAGAAACCAGTAGACAACCAGAGGCACATCATTTGACTGAAGACATCTGAGGTAACAAACCACATTTGTAGATAACATGATTTTTGTGTTTGGTGTCAACAAAATATGCGAAATCTTAAAAATTTGATAATTTCGTGATCTAAATTGGTTTCCATGTTTCCGAGTATATGGTCAAAGGATAAAATTATTCGTGTTTGTAAAAAAATGCACATAGATGTCTTTACCATGTAGGAAAACATTACTTACATCCGGTTTCTAATGTTTTTAGATGTGATGAAATTTCCACATCAATAGTTAGAAAATTTTCTCACATAATTGTTGTCAAATAACTCGACAAAATCACCTGACAATGGAGGTTTGTATGTTAACCTAAAACCACCTAGTGAATCTGGTAAGTTTAATTTTTTCGTTAAATAACTAATCAAAGTTGAATGTGTTACAAGCATTGACAACAATATGACAACTTTTTCAGTTTCTTGAATGTAATTTAATACCCGTTAACTATCTGCCATGGACCTCCGCTTCAAACACATACCCTAACTTTCTCAAATTTTATTGTTATTTTTTTTATTAAGAGAGAATTTCTCAATATTTTTGTGGGAAAAATAAGAGGTAAGAACGATCAATGGCGGTCAGTGACAGTCAAGGATGGTGGATGAATGCTCAAAATATGTTGGTTTGAGTGTTTGAAGTGTGTAGGGTTGTCCATGTAACCTATCAAATCAGATACAAGTAATCAACCGAGAGTCTTAGGGGGCGTTTGGTTCGCAGAATGATTTCTGAAATAATGGAATTTGTTAAAGGAATTGGAATGGAATGTTATCAGGTTTGACCAAGTGTTTGGTTGACAGGAATAGAATTTAATCTGTCTAATGAATTGGAATCTGTCTGTTTGGTTTGCAATAGAATTAGAATGGAATGGTGAAAAAAAAACAAAAAATCATTTCTTCGATATTTAAAAAAAATACAAATAACAATAAAATTAACATTTAATGAGGAAAAAAATGTTTATCATTTATTAAATCATTTATAAAATGTTCGATCGATAGAAAACAGTGTTGATGAAAGCAGTGTTCGATCGAAGATGAAAGTAGCAGATTAGCAGCGTTCATTTGATGGAAGATGAAAGCATACATGAGCAAAAGTGACAGCAGCGGCTAGGGTTTGATAGTAGCAGAAGGGTATTTATATCATTTAAACACTTTTGGATGGAATGAATTTCAATTCCATCAGATTTACTAAGGAATGATTAGGATTCCAGGAATCCAATATTCCTACTAAGGCTAGGCCTATAAAATGGAATGAAATAGCTTTCCTCGAAAGTTGGACTTTAACCAGGAATATTCTTAAGAATCCTATTATTCAGAGCGATTTTAGCAATATTACTCAAACTAATGAAGGAATTGTTCATATACAATTCAATGATGTTCAGAGAAATTCCCACTCTGAAAAAAGGCCTCTTTTAAGATCTAATTCTTTGGCTCATAATCATATTTCTCGAATTCCTCAAATTTGGGAATCTTTGGAATTCAATTCCATTCTATGGGTAATCAAACATTGGAATGAATTTGGTCAACGGAATTAACCATTCCAATTCCATCAGATTCTGACGGATTCCAATGAATCAAACGCCCCCTTAGGATGAGACATTGTGTAGTCAAATTAGGCTTCGGTGGGCCTTTTTGTGGTGGCCATCGCGATTCGCCCCACTAGGCACGAACCCGGTCACAACGTCCTCTAAATTGTTAGCTTCCCAGATTTATTTGGGATCTACATGGATATGTGTGGGCCTTTCTACTTTCCTCAAAATAGAGATTAATTTTTAAGGGGGAAAAAAATGCTTTTTGGTCATTTTTGTAATTTTTTGAAAGACGAGGGGTTATTTGTTTACCTCTTAATGGTTCAGCTCTGAATCATTAAGAGGTGAATCTTGTTTGGTAAAAAAAATCTGCTTATTAATGGTTATAAAACTCTCTGAATGATTTTGTATCACGAGTCTCTCTTAATCATTCAGCGCCTTAATTTCGTTGTAAATAAATACCAAATAATTATATTTCATTTTGCATTATATCATAAGAGTGTTAATCATTTTGCATCAAACTATTTAACAACTGCCAAACAGTCTTTAAATAAGTCAAGTCGAGAATCGTCTTCCAATATTTGCTTATGATAAACTTATTAATAATGTACCAATTAAAAAAATATTTTTCAGATACTAATGATGAAGAAATCCAACATTGAAAAGCATGCTAAAAATACGATACACAAAAATCTTCCGCTTAAATAAATCTTAAAGATCATTTTATACGTTCAGGTGAAGAAGTAAATTCAAGTAATCTTGATTTAACGTGACTGTGAGAGAAATCAAAATCACGAGTGACCATTTATCTGTATTTCCAATGACATTTGAAATTCAAACTATTTATGAAAAAAATCAAAAGTTAATTTTTGTGCATTTATAAAAAAAGAGTACGGAAAATTTTGAATTAAAAAGGAATGTCGGAAATATGAATACATTAAATTACAAAAAGTTGATTTTTACTTTGGTGGAACTTTTAAACCGAAGCTGTACGAACTCTTATGTTTACCTTTCTATAAGCTCTAGTTTTCAAAAGGTTAAAAAACAAACAAAAAATTGGACTTGTTCGCCCATACATGAAATGGATCCATGTAAACTTTTTTTTATTAATCTGGATATCCAACCCGCTATGCTAGCCTACTAATCCCAATTCCCAAAGCAATCACCTGCTTTGCAGATTGTCCACCACATTTGAACTTCCGTGGCCACAAGAAGATTTTTATTCCTCCTTGGATTTGAGCCTGAGATCTCCTGGTATTTTTGACATTTAAAGTCAAGCTCAAACCAATCAGGCACCACCTTTGTAATTATCCATGACTTTCGCATTAGGATTTAGGAATAATTTGTTTATGAGCTGATTGAACTATTGATATTTGTGTAGACCTCGTTTGATTGGAGTTTGCGTGTTGACAACATGACCAGTATTTCTCACTCGAAAGTAACGTCTGAAAATAAGATGTTATATATACACAAACTTAATCTCTACCCAAAAGAGTAGAACGTAGAACAGTTATTTCTATAATATCCCTTCCCTGCAAATTGAATGCAAATAATATCTCCATCTATTCAATATGTTCAAAAACTAAGATTCAAGTTCACAATTTAAAAGAAAAAACAAATGGAAACCATAAACAGAAATTCATCAAAGCAGACCTTTTTCCGTCCCAAAAATAACCCAAATATGGATTTGGCAAATTCATATCTGGAAAAGGAAAAGGCCTGTGCTAGAAAGAAGATATGTTTCACTTGCTGCAAGTACAAAAGAATACAATGCTGTCAATAAATTTACAATTTAAACAAGCCCAAGCTCGAAACGACTCGATATCCCACCATAGAAACCTGATCTTTTTCTTGATATTTAAACACCGACACGATCATGACTTGGATTAAATCATACTGTACCCTCCTCCCTCGTCACTGTTCAGTCCAACGAAACAAAATATGGCGGTGGCAAACACAAGCAGCGACGAAAGCTCCATTGCAAATGCACCCCATGTAATGATGCCGGCATGCTTCAAGATTATAGGAATGGCGAAGCTGCCTACTGCTGAAGCTCCGGTCAAGAACTTGGTTGCATCCACCCAACTGTTATAAAGACGCTACACATTATCTTTATGGTCTATCACTAGTTTCCGAGGGCAAAATTGGAAGTTTAGGGTGTGCTTGGTATGCGGACAGGACTGGATTGACGAAAGTGACGTTCACCTAGGTAGGCAGGTGCAAGAATTGTGGATGGTTTTATGGTTTTAATTTGGCATGGGTAGTTTAGTAATTTATCAAGCTTGTCCCATATCCTTTGATTTTTGTTCCACCTATTTTGGTGGGGCAGAAAAATTACACTTTTGGCCACCTCCAGTCCCTGTCTGACTGTCATACTAAACGTGGGACAACAAGTTTTTGTTATGTCCAGTCCTGTCTCGTGTACCAAACGCACCCTAAAAGCTCTGTAGGCATGTGTTCGAAAATACTAAACCTGTTTTCAGACGTAGCAAAGAGAGCAGAAGTATCCGATCCAGCAAATACTATCAACGGTACGGGGATAATCACATACATCAATGCTGCATCAAAAAATCGTTGATTTGGTACATGGTTTTATCTAAAATGTTTGACGACATATCCAATACCAAAATTACCTCCCAACAAAAAAACTATGAAGTTATTGACAATGACGATAATGCACAAAAAGAATAATTTTCACTTGGAATCTTTCTAAATGAAGTGTTGTGATTACATGAGACGAAAAGTAAAACATAGGTTAAACCCACCAACCCCCAAAAAAGAATTATTGGCTATTGAAAAACAGAAAAGAGAACTATGTATTCTAGAAACACATGTGCATTTTACAGTCAGCGGTACTAGCTAACAGTACGTTTCAACTGTCAAGCATGAGTATATAGAGAAGTCCCTTCCTAGTTCCTTCTTTCAATGTCTTTTTATCACCCCCCCCCCCCAACTTTCCTATCAAGGAGAAAGTCACAATACTATGACATTCCATATTCTTCGTCTCTTTCATTTTCTCCCTCTAATCTTTACGTATATGACGGAAAAGACCAACCCAAGAAGCTGCAGACATCTACAGGGACTTAGATGACTTCATATGATTTCTCTAAGGAAAATTATAAAGATCAAAAAAGGAGATATGTGATCTAGGAAATATGCATTGGTGAGTGCTTTACATTTATGAGAGGATTCTATTTTTATACACTGATAATGCGAATACTTTTAATGCAAAGGTGTAAAACTGTGCTAGGCATCATTGAAAAATGACATGTGATCTGATTAAAATGCCAGCCAATTGTTTTGTGCAGCATTCATCCTTAAAAATATATGTGCTAAGTATGTTCTTAAAATTCGTTCTAGTGTTTCTTTGAGCCAAGATTCAATGTGATCAAAAGGTAGCATTCATCCCTAAAAAATATACGTTGGTCTCCTATATTCTTAAAAAGATTCTGTAATTGCTGTTTCCTGGGAACCGAGAGAAGCAATGTAATCAAAAGGTGTAACTGCCCAGTTCAAAAGCCAAAAAAGAATGTCATCAGCTACCTCATCATGTGCATTAGTAACTGAAGAATCAAGGTATTTATCTCCTAGGTAACCTCACAACAACATTACCCTAATATCATGCTCCAAATCCTAATAGAAGTAATCATGCTCTTACTAAGATCTACATCATTCCAGCAGAGCTCATGCATCAGGAAGGATCCATGTCAAAGCCTCCTTGATACAACAAAGGAGTTGATTCGAAGGTACAAAATGAAAGGCGCATGATTGAAATGAAAAACTCAAGATTGGGAGTAACCTTACCCACAAAAGAGGTAATCAGATCCAGAAATAGCAGTAGCTCTAGCAAATTGTACTTGTTTTGGTGGAGGTTTAACACCTATATTATGGGCCAGGAAAGCTAACTACATTATGTTGATTTTTTTAAAGCTTTTGTTGGGCTGTTAAACTATGTACCAGAAAAGTAGTGTGGCCAAACTGAAAATATAATATATCCAGCATAAGTTACCTTTAGAATATAATGAGTAGATCATACGATTTATGGTCCTAACACAATTTAGACCAAAAATGTAGAATTTGAGCACTGTGAACAAATTTATTTAAAGAGAAACATGTTTATGTATAATAACCAAAATCCTACATGCAAATTACTTCCAAATTAGATAAAACTCAAATATAACTACCATAGAAGATCCTTTTTGCATAAATTCTGTCATCACCAGCTAGGCAAGTCTTCACCAACCAAAATAAAGCTTATTATATGTATTGGTTTTTATTGTACCTGTAGACAGCAAGATGCCCACTTTCTTGCTTGCATATCCTAGGCATCAAATATGACATTGTTCGATGTGGAGCCTGATTTCAACTACATACCCTTTTGTAAGAAAAAGAATATTGATAGTTTTGTTGTCTTAAGCTTTCTGTCTAGACTCCTATTGTCAAAGGACACAGCTTCAATTGCTTTGATGTATTATCAAAAATCAACGACCATCGGATGTAAACAAATTGCTGACCCACGTAAACATTGTGCCTTTTTTTTTCATTTCCTGCAATCTACCATCACTTCCTGTGTGTGTTTGCCGATCCTTACATATAAGATCCACAAGATGGAGCTTGAGCTTACAAATGCAATTTCTTAATTAGTGAATTTTATCAGTCTCATGTTACAAACCTTCATGAGCTTGTCTGAATGCTTTCTAATGATAAAAATCTGATGGGTACACTGCTACCTAATATACTAACCAGGAAAAAGGATGGGAAAGGGGCATTTAAATACTCGCCAGTTATGTAAATGATAAAAATCTCGTTGATGTATCATTGATTGGAAAGGATGGGTACAAGCTTCTCTGATTGCTTTCTAATGATAAAAATCTCATTGATGTACGCTTAAATGAGTAGGAACAGGGAAGCGGCATTTAAATACTCAACATTTATTGTATGCCATCTAAAGAGATATAACCCAATCGTGAAATTTCACATGTAAATTCGATAAAGATGCTCTACCTGTTAGCATTGGCCACCAATTATTGTACAAGACACATGCCTGTAATCACGAAAGGGAACAAGTAAACAACAACCAATTCTTCAAGTAATGGCCATGAAATTATTAACCTTAACATCTAGTGCAGGTAATGAGTGTTTGGAGCTTACTAGTACTTGCAATACAATCCCTCCAGACACCAAAATAGCCAAAAGAGCAAGTCTCCCAGAATACAGACAGGTTAGGAGATAACCTGGTAAGTCTGCCATCCTTCACGTGCCTCAACACATCAGGGTTTTCACTGCAAATGAGCATAAAAGCTTGGAGGTGGAATGAATTCATAAAATAAGAGCTGCATGGTAAAATAATCATGTACTTTAAGTAATCACGTGTAGGGAAGAAACATATACATAATACAACATATATTTCATCAGACAATTTACCAACTAAATGCTACAGCCTCCAGACATGTGCATGGGTGATGATGGAGGTTGCTATTTTATTGCCAGATGGTTTATGTTTTTGTGGGGGTTGAGGATATGTCAGTATACAAAAATGCCGTTACAAGAAGAGAATGGGAATTGGTAAGAATATAGATAGTTAAAGAAGAGGGAATATCAGAGTTGAGATTTAAATGAGCTTTGAAGCTTTTAATGTAAATCCCAAGTGAGTATATCTTGAATTTTATTTGACATGATGAAAATGCAATCACAAATATGATTCATTGCTTTCTACAAGTACGGATTCATGAATATTTTTATTTGTTAGAGAAGCTGTTATTTATCTGGCCTCTTTGTTACTTCTGTATCAGTGCAGGTTTTATTACTTCTGTAAGAGGAGCTTGATCAGACTACAAAATCATCAAAACTATCTGCCTAATTCAATATCAAGTATGGATCTTTTTAAGATATTACAGCCTTTTACAAAACATAAAAAAACATCCACTAGAGATCAGGAGTAATATAGAACAGATAATGGTGAACTTCCACAGAATATGATTATGCAATCAAGGGAAGGGTTTAAATGCAAGGAAAAGAATGAAAAGCAGATCAGAGAGCGGGAACAATCATCAGATGGCTGCAGAGCATTTGTGACCTATCATCAGCCCATAACGAAGAAAGAGTCATCTTTTTACTTGTAGTATCCCTTTATTCCACTCCAGCATGAGGTAATACACAAACGACAAGAATATCATGATAATGAACATGAGATAATTCAGCTCTCTTAAATGAACAGCATAGTTTTTTGATGCATCAGGGAGTAATCAAGATCAACACTTTGACCATTCCTACATCTATATTTGATATCACAAATTCACGGTCATGTATGACCTTGTCAATAACTTCAGGGACCAATGACAAAAGCATTAACATTTTCATAGATGGATGAACCATTGCTATCAGTAAATTGGAGAGCTGTTGGAAGGTAATAAATGACAATAGAGAAATCAGCCACGGCCTGACTGAACCATAGCACCATCCCTGTTCAGGGCCTTCATATAGTTAAGGAGTTTTCTTTGCGGTACTTACACTAAGGGGCAATTTACTTTTTTTCCATTAAGCCCTGAATGGGTTAAGTTGTCTGTCCCAATAAACTTTTTTGGTATAATTTGTTTAATGCGGCCTAAGGTATTAGCTTATTCCATATAGACATTTTGGCTTAATGGCAAAACGACTAAGCCACCCATACCATTAAGCTCATTAAGATGTTGGTAAACAGCCCCTAACTATTGTCTTCTAATATCTGCTGATTCATCAAATTACAAAGACAGGTTGTTATCATGTATCATCGTCCTCATACATAATTAAATATTACCCCCTACAGAAAGCACAGGACTCCAAAGCTAAATACAAGTTATATCTCGATCAGAACTAATAATCGAAATACAAGGAGTATAATATGAGGTTCAAAACATCATTAGCACATCAAAAACCATACAGAATTTACAGTCGGAATCTTGGTTCTCACTCCATTTGAAAACCTCAATAAAGTACAAAAACAAAAGGTAATCATCACAACCCTTGGGGGTAAAAACCCTCTTTCTCTCCCTCTCCTCAGAATCCAACAGGATTATATCGCAGTTTTGCTGCATAATCCCAAAATTCAATACAAAAGAAGGAATGAAATCTATAAACGACTAGTTTAGTAGAGAAAGTTCAGAAATCCCAGAACTGTACGTATACGAACAGATCAACAAACAAACACATGCGAAAACAGATACTCTTATTGAATTGGAAGTAGAAGTTTTCTGGAGAGATTGAATCGTACCAGATGATGATGAATCGAAGAAAACCACGAACTTGGATGAGATCAAATTAGGGTTCGTTGTCTTGTAGATTTATTATTATCGAGAACAAAGGAATCTAAGCAATTATTTTTTCCTCCAATTCATAATACTACCAACTACCAAGTACCAACTGATTGGTCCCAAGGAGCCCATTTTACCCATGAGACACTTCAGCCTTCTTTTGCTTTTACATAATAAGTCCTTCATCTATTGCTTTTTGACAAAAATAGCAAGCTCAATTATTAATCTTTGACAACTTACCCCCTAAACTTTTAAATTTAGAAATTTGCATAAATGTAGGATGGTTGAATAGATGATTATTTAGGCTGCGTTTTATACATGAGACAACATAAGACGGGAAAAAACTCGCAGTCTCACGTTTGACATGATATGGGACAGGACAAGAACTCGTTGTCTCATGTTTGGTGCAAGTGCAACATAGGACAGAGACAATAATTGAAACAATGTGGGACAACGTGAGATAGAAAAAGTTTTTTTTTTCTTGTTCCACCAAAATATGTGGAACAAGAATAAGACATAAACTAAAATATTACTAATTAACCCTCATTTGATGTATAACCTCGATATGGTATTTGATTTAGTGATCACAACCACTGGTCGTGGCCACCGCCGCCACCACCGGTAGCCACCATCGCCCACCTCCTCGACCACCACCGTCCATCGCCACTTTTATAACCACCGTCCGCCATCGAACACCATCGTCTATCGCCGCCACCACTTCCACTGTCAGCTACCACCACCGCGTCGGCCACAACTATCTCGTCCACCACTATTGCCCCCCCACCACCATTATCCACCATCTTAACGTCTCCACAACGATCATCGTCCACCGATCACCAATCCTCTACCTCCACAACCATTGTTGTTGTAACAATCTTCCTCATGTTTTCGCCAATTGGTAAGGATCTTCTAAACCGAATAAAACATAATTTCTCCTTTGTACGAACCGGGTGTTTTCAAACTATAATAAATTATATCAAAATTGTCATCCGAATTTGGTACTATTATATATGTATGTATTTATATATATGAAATTGTGTAAAAATATTTGAATTAAATTATTTAACTTTTTACTTTATTTGTGTTAATTATAACTATTATATAATATATAAAATCATCAAATAACTTTTGAAAGCAACTTGTCTAGTTTTATCATGTTCTGTTTTAGTCGTACCAAACGCTAGACAGACACTTGTTCTGTCCACTCCTGTCCGTCCAGTACTACCCTATTGTCATGTCCAGTTCTGTCATGTCCACTCATATCTACATACCAAATGCTACCTTACAAACTTGGTTGGGGTCGGGCCTGGGCTAGGATCTAACATATTTTTCTTACCCAATGAGCATAATTAACTAATATCACAACCTCCCACGATCTTCATATATTAAAAATCAGTTTTAATTTATAAAAGGGTACTCGTGTAATGCAGTGAGATACATATTGATTTTAATATTTCATTTTATTCTATATAGATATTAGTATTAAATTAACTATTTAAAATTCATATTTTTTGTGTAATTATTTAATTTAATTTTTTATTATAATTTAATTTAAGTTCAATAACGAAGTAATTTATATTTGGTTTAACAACATAATTTTCTTATAAAGATAATAATTAAATATTTTGTTAGAACTCGATAATTATCTTAATTATATTTTAGAATTTTTTATATTTTAAAATGAGATGTTTATCCTCTATTTGATTATGTTTATTTGCAGTTAGTTACATGAATTCAAACATAGAGCTTTAATAAGTTGTACTAATATATAATTTACTTGTAATATTGAATTTTAAGTAATATGCATCAATATACAGTACTTCATGAATAAAAAAAATGGGTTTTAAGAGTTTTTGTCAAATGTTTTATAATATAGTATAGATTACACTTTATAGTTTGTACCCTTATAAATAGCGATTTATTTACTTTGTATTTCATATTTTTTCATTTCACACCTTTATCGTATTAACACAGATGACCGTATATTTAACTAAATTCATTTAAAAAATACGTTTTTTTACAAATTATACCATTATAATCGTCTTGTTAATACCTTCGGAATGAATTCAATATTGAATATTTTTTGATTTAATCATACTATTAAATATCACGAATATCTACAAATTAATTTGTTTTATAGCAAGAACAACATATGATATGGGTTAAAAAACACTGTTATCGAACTATTATATTTCAAAATCTTTGACCAATGAAATATATTAACTTTGACTTCATATATCATCTGATTTATGATTTTAAACCACAACACACTATAAAATTATCATCGAGAGGGACAAAAAATAAAATAAAACTTGAGACAAGATTACCGTTTGGATTCTCGACTTCATAATCAAAATAATTTGTGCGGCATCGCACACGGGTTGTTACTAATTTTTTAAAAACTAAAAGTTTTAAATGCTTTATAACATGGTATGTATATCAAAAAGTATAGATTTGAGATCATGTGAGACCAATGGTTTTTCTTGAGACCAATTATCAATCATTGGATTAAATCTACAATATAAACATTCATAATCACAAAATTTTCACGAGATTTCTCAATAATCACAAAATTACCACCGTGTAACTTTACACCATTAGATCATTAGCTTATAAAGTTGATCAATGAACATAAATTGGTCTCACGAAAAACCCTTGATCTCACATGAACCCAACCCTATTAGTATATGTTCGTACTTGATTTTATTTATTGTTCGTAGGGGTGTGATTTGCACATATTTATTCAATTCAGGGTCTTTTTTTGCAGCTTACGTGGAAAACCTATGACGAAAACATGAATCCCCTTCTCAAAGACAAATCCACGGCGATCAAATCGACAATGGCTTCTCCTCCTAAAAGGCGAATCAAAAACCCTAGATACTCAACTACCTCTTCCCCATCTCCTTCTTCCATACGAACTTCATCTTCAACTCAACCGCCACCAAGCTTATTGCCGTCCAAGACAGAGTTTTTCAAGCTCATCGCCGTCGTATCTATCGCTGTCTCTGTAGCAATAGGCTGCAACTATGTCGTCAAGTTTTCAAGTCTTCAGCCGAAGCCGTTCTGCGATAGAGATACGGAATTCGATTACTATTCCTCCGGTGAGCAACGTTGTATTCGTAATTTTGCATGAGTAAATGTGTTTTGTTTCTTCTCTAAAAAGTTGTCTGTATTAGTGCTTCCTTCTCTCAATTCCAAAGAACAATATCTATATTTAATTATTGGTCTCACTTGTCAATGGAAATTTTATATGGATTTCGTTGCCAATCACCCGCCGGTTTTTATTTGCGGCACTTCCAACATCAGTGGAGTTAGTTACCGTCGTTTCTTGAAGGTTTAGAATCCATGTCAATTTAAAGCTGAAATGGAGCTCATTTCATTCTATAGGCGTTATATAACTCTTAATCATGATGAATGGAGCGCAAGACCATCTCAGATGAATGCACCAAATTTTGCCCTATGCATACCAAACGTTCACCAATACATGGAGGCCACCAAACACCATCCTTGTTAAAGTTATGATATTTACAAAATATCCTTCAATTTCAAGATTTTTATGAACTTTTACTATATTTCGTTGTCTAGTAACGTTTTAATGAAATAGAATTATATTAACCTTTAAGATTCAATAGTTTAGTTTTAATCTATACTGATTTTAATAAAGTATTTATTTTTAATAATTTTTACAACACAGTAATATATTTAATTAAAATGTACCACTAATATATATGTTAATATCAAAGCATTACATACGAAGAAGATAGAAATACATAATGACTACTGACAGAGGTTGAAACGATGACAGATGATTCCAACAATATATTGCTCGATAAAGAAGTCCACTTCAACCTTCTGATTTCTGAATGAGTTAACAGGTCATATATGGGAAAAACATGCCAATTCTGTTAACTGCGGATGTGTTTTATCTTTAGATGTGTGTTAAAAATGTAACCTTTTTATTTATTGGAAATTTCTTTTGGATAATTTAGTACAGAATTAATTATGAACTGGAATTTGGTTCAAAATTTCAAATAGTATGATGATGAAGTTATTGCGAAAATATAAAATGCATGGGTATAATTTGTATATTTATAAATATTGGGAAAGTATCGAAAATCTATGTAATCAAGATGAAAAAGAATATATTTGAAATATTTCTCTCTTGGTGCAGAAAATAGTGTAATACATTGGAGATGATTCATTGTTTATACCATTTCTTGCACCAAAATGCTGCAAAATTTGGTGTTTTATATTGGAGATGCCTTAAGGAGTTATATTTTGATTTTGCCTTCATCATGTTCAATTGTTAGTCTTCAGCTACAAAGTTGAAGAACACTGAATGCACTTCATTTGCCTTTCTGCTTCCCGGATTCACATCCTCAGATGTACCCTTCTAAGTCCATGCCTCAAAGTCGTGTACCATGCATACATCAAACATGCATGAGCTTTTCGGTCAATGGGTATGCAGATGTAATGAAAAGGGATTGCAAGATTATGGGAAATAGGAAAATAAGTTAGAATACTATTTGGTTTTAATTTTCTGTTCAGTTGGCTAGTAGTTGATATCATATTTGGGTATCTTGGCTGTTTACTAAGTTTTGTGGCATCTCTTAAATTAGGTTTCTTCTTCTTTTAATTGAAAAAAGGCGATTCCTAAGATTTTTTTCATTGAATTAACTTATAAGATATTCTGTAGGCGAAAGAATCAGGTTCCTCTCAGGCTTGATGATTTGATCACGTGGTATGCCTTTGGCTAACCATGTGCACGATGCTTTTGTATATTCACAAAGCTGGCCTTCGATAACAGGCGAAATGGATAAGGATATGGAGCCTTGAACCCCTGTTATCTTCAACATGGAAACACACTTTAATATGAGAAATGATCAACAAGCACACCTCGGTATATATATTATCTAGGTGCAGCACCCTAGGAGTTATGGCGTGACAAGATGTTCTTCAAGCTTTTCCATTGACAGGCAAGGGAAATTCTATAAGTCAACTCTTACTGAGTTCAGTCTGTGTAGCAGTTTTTGTCAGATGTGCTACCTCTACACTTTTCATGGGTTCAAACAATGGGAGTTTCCCAAAATCTTGTGAGCCTCCCCTTTGCATGCAAAATGGGTTCCACAAATATATAACTCAATTGTTAGGGGTTGATATGATGTGGTTGAAGTTTGCTTAACCAATAAGTGACTCATGTAGGAAATTATGTAGCTAGTAGGACAATTTTTGTTTTTGAAATGGAAATGGTTGTGTTGAATCTTTCTAAGGTTAATTCATATGCGGATCAAATTGTTGCATTAAAATGTCCTATTTTGGGCTTCCAGTTTTCTTTTTATCAATGTGAACCTTATTGTGCATCAAGTTCTTTAACCTACTTTTAGCTGCATAGCTGCATGGCGAAAAATGTTTCTTCATGCTTAGTAGAGAGAATCATAAAATTACCATTTATGTAGAGTGGTTGCGTCTTTACATCTTATGCTTTTACACTTGATTAATCAATAGTATCGTTTACAGATGTTTGTGATCCTTGTCCAAGCCATGGCATATGTTATCAAGGCAAATTAGAATGCATGAGTGGTTATATAAGACATGGGAGATCATGTCTAGAAGATGGAGATATTAATGAAATGGCTAAGAATCTCGTGAGTGAGTAACACTTATCTTGGGGGTACTTTTGATCATGTAAGGGTGAAGAGAAAAATATCTTTCATATTTCTACCTTTGCTTCTGAAAATATAAAGATGGTGTGATTTTGTTGCAGGCGAAAATGGCAGAATCTCATGTCTGTGAATCATATTCTCAGTACTTGTGCAAAGGAATGGACAAAGTTTGGGTGTGTTTTTTATTCACCTCCACGTATTGATGGACAACAGATTTTCTTTTCAGTCCACTTAACTATGTTATGAGATGCTGGTTACAGATAATCACTGATTCAAACTTGTATTTCAGATTCAAGGGAATGAATTGTGGAATAATATGGATAAACTGAAGCTGACAGAGGATTATGGAAAGGACAACACCACCTATCTGTATGCAAAGCAAAGAGCAATGGAGATTGTTTATAATTTATTGGAGACCAGGGATACTAACATTGGGTACAGCTATAATTATCATTCAGTTGTGATTGTTTGGAAGCTGAAAACGCTACATTTCTGAACTTGCCCATTTGTGTTTGCGCCGCTTTTCTTCTTGATGCAGGATTAAGGAGCTGAAATGTCCAGAGTTGCTAGTGGAACATTATAAACCACTAAGCTGTTGCATTCGACTATGGCTTTTGGAGCGTGCTTTGTTTCTAATACCATTTTGTGCCTTGGTATTTAATGAAACCTTTTTTGAAATCTAATTTGGTATCACATTTCCAAGCTTGGTGACGCTATTGACATTTTGCAGCTCATGGGGTGCATATTAATACTGCTAAGAATTCGACGGAGACATTACTTATCAGTTAGAGCTGAAGAGCTTTACGAACAGGTGCAAACTGCCATACTTCCTTAATTCATTAATCAAGCGTCAGTTTAAGGTGTTCAGCCTGTTGTTTTATAGTACAGAACTATCGATTCTTCATTTAAAATATCCAATGTATGTCTCCTGTTAGGAAAGCTGCATTATTAGTTACGTAACAAAAACAAAAATTTGCATAGGAAAAACACTGCAGCAGAGCCACTATCAATTAAGTTAATTCCATCTTTTGAAAGCTTGTTGACCTAAGTCATAAAGGGACTTTATTGGACTATGCAAACAATCTGTTTTGTTGAAACATAAAATGTACCAATATGAAGTGAAGAAGTTAACCTTATTTTATGTGTTGTCATGTTAACCCTAATTATCGGACAGATCTTGGTTTGTTGTTACATTTACCTTTATGCTCACCATGTAAGTTTGTTACATTAACATTTGTAATTACTACAAATACAATAGGTCTGCGACACGCTTGAAGAGACTGCTTTAACTTCAAGGAGTGTAAATGGTGAAGGTGAACCGTGGATAGTTGCTTCATGGTTAAGAGATAATATCCTTACACCCAGAGAAAGAAGGGATCCCCTGTTGTGGAAAAAGGTTCTTCATCTCTCACAAGATATCCTTCTCTCTTCAAGAACTTGTTATATATTTAATTTGTGTTTATTGCCAATGCTTCTGTGTCCAAAGTTAGTCGACCATTATTGCAGTAAGTTTCATTTTTGAGACTAGAGATTGACCAAATTGTGAGTTTTTGTTACCGGTTTTTAAGCTAATTATGTTCTAAATGTTGGGCCTTTATAACATAGGAAACAACCCACATTAGTGCACCACTTTACTCTTCCGATTAGGGCTATACAAAAAACCGTCAACCCTCCAAACCCAATCCGCAAACCACACGATTAAACCCAACCCGCTAACCCGTCAAACTGCTAATTAACAGGGTTGAAATTGGGTTAGGCCTAACTCAACCCAGCCCGCCAACTGGCCGCTAATACTAGTTTTGATAAATTTATATATATATACAATATAAAATTAATTTAAATTTACCTAGTCCGAGCCTCATTCTCATTTTTTGGTTATTTTTGGTGCACCTTTTTCTCCATTTTTTTGCTTAGTTCACATTCTCCATTTACATGCTAGTGCTGTCACTACCACAAAATCTGATTTATAGGATGAACAACAATTTCTAGGTGTCCCAATAGACAACTTTATATGCCTTAAGTTTATGGGATGCCAACAATTTCTAGGTGTCCCAATAGACAACTTTATATGACTTAAGTTTATAGGACCAAACAATACAACGTCCTATCCAAAGGGTGTTGTGATAAGTTTAGAGGATGCTTTTGGGTATTTTAACAAGTTTTTAGGAGCCTTTTAATTTAATACAAAGTGTTGTATTAGCAATTTTATAGGACGCTTTTGAGAAATGTTCTATGAACACATTTTTTATGGGACGTTTGTTTTAATAAGACTCGTTTTCAAATAATGTCCTATAAAACAACTAATACAATGTTTTTTCTATAAAAATGTTCTAAAAAGCTTGTTACAACACCCAAAAAATGTTATAAACTTATTACAACACATTTAGATAGGACACTTTATTGCTTGGTCCTATAAATTAAGTCTTATTAAGCAGTCTATTAGAGGCTTAGATATTTTGGCCGTCCTATAAACCCAATTTCATTGTAGTGTATTTGCTGTAAATTTAATAGGAGCAAAAGAATTCGATTAAGTTATGCATATAAATGTGTGAGACTAAATAATATATAATTATATAAATATGTACACATATATCTTTTGGTTGGGTGAACGGAGTAAGCACTGGTGTGTAAACATATTTTCAATTTTTGCAAACACAATTCGTTTATCATATATACTTGTGTATCAATAATTCAATATTATTTGTTTGTTATATTATATGTATAAGATCAAATTGAGCAATGGACAATACTTCTAAGTCACCAAAAATCGAAGATACATACTCATTTGAAAGAATGATGGCGATCAGCCAACCAAACCCGCAAAGGTTGGGTTGTGTTGGGTTACACTTTGTAAGGGGTTGGGTTGTTTAAATGCCTCAAACCGCCAAAATTGGATTGTGTTGTTTAAATGCCTCAAACTGCCCAACCCAGCTCACATACACCCCTACTTCAGATGTTTTTATTTTTTTGTATATGTATTTTGAAGTATATAATATTTATATATGGCGAATGAAGTCACACGCCCTCTTCACCTTTGGTGAGGTTTGAACCCCTTTCCAAATGCACAAGCTAAATATAAAAGTCGAGTCTAATGAGAGAGATTTAGGGCAAAACAAAAGGCAAAACGGATGTTTGGACTTCGGAGTTTCAATTAAGTTTTTGAAATGATGCTTCGTCATCCACAATTTTTATATGCAAATTTTTGTTCTATTATCTTTCAAGCCATTTGCATCGTTGTTCTCAAATGCTTGCATCTTTTATGATTTCTGTCTTTTTGGTGTAGGTTGAGGAGTTGGTCCAAGAAGATTCTCGCTTAGACCAGTACCCAAAAATGTTGAAGGGTGAAGCTAAGGTTGTCTGGGAGTGGCAAGGTATTCGTTTGCACCCTTTCCTCTTCTAGAATCGCAACTACTTGCTACTCTACATGTGGGCTTTTGGTCAAATGTCTAATGCTGTGTTCTCGAGTCCTTATTTATGAAGGAAAGGGAAGAAAAGGAGGGAAATAAAATAATATCTGTTTTCGAGTTTTTTGGAGGGAAAATAAAGGAAAACAATGAAAATAAGACTCATTTTTCTCCCAAATATGAGAACAAAGGTAAGTGAAAGAAAAGAAATAAATAAGAACAATTAAAACTATTTATAAAATTATATATTTATTGAGGGTTGGTTCTGGTGAGAATGAAAGTTATGATGAGAAGGGTAAGAAGAGATTTCCACCCTTGAATCAATCCTAATTAAAGATCAGAACTAATGTTGTGCATTTAGATGCACCATATCAATTCCCGTGATAAGCACAATTCTTGGGTGGAGGTGAGATTAAAAGTGATCAAGGGTCTAGATCCTTTCTTATGCTTTTCATGTTAACTCCTATTCTCACACGATCCTTTGTGTATCTACTGATCAATACAAATTCCACCAAAAAAATAAATAAGGGTGTATTGGTAAAATTGACATATTTTCTTTCCTTTCTCTTCTGCCCAAGAACATCGAATTCATTTTCTTTCTTTCCCTTAGCTCTCAAGAACACAATTGAATTTTTTTCTTTCTTTCCATCACTTTCTTTTCTTCTTAAATTCAGGAACACAAATGCAAGTCATAAATGATAAACAAACACCTTTGCTTTAAAATTGCCAAAAATAAGGAACTTTTGAATCTACATGGGATGCCTCAAAACAGAAAATACTCCAAAATCTTATGAGACAGAAAGTATTTACCTAATTGTCAAATTAGAAGTGCTTTGTTAAGGGTGTGTTTGGTACATGGATGTGACGGGACTAGACTGAACGGGTAAGACTGAGGTAGACTGGTGAAAGAATTGTGGAAGGTTTAAGGGTTTTAATTTGACGTATGTAGTTTAGTAATTTACCAATGCTGTTCCATCTATCTGATTTTCGTTCACCTATTTTGGTGTGCATTTTTGTTTCTTAGTTTGCCAAACGTGCGATGACAAGTTTGTCTTTGTTTTGTCCCATTCTGTTCCACATACCAAACACACCCGAAGCAGGCAAATCAGTGTCTTTGAGAGGCTCTATTTGAGCTCTTGACAATTTCTATATTTCAGAAAGTTTTTTTTGTTCCTCTTTCTGTTTTCATCGGCATCTCTTCTCACTTTCACTCTCACAGTTGAAGGAGCTTTGAGATCTTCTGGCAAGAAGAAGAAGAAGAAGGGAGAGATGGACAAACAGAAATGGAGTGAAAATTCAAATTTGGGTTCTAACCAAGATCCCAGGAGCAGATTGAAGGCTGTTTAAAATGGTATATCTTGAAACATGATCACATATGTTGTAGATTCTCTTTTGTACATTTTATATAACAATTTTCAGAATGCCATTGTTCCGTACACACACACAACACACACACACATATATGCATGCATATGTAGGCGAAGGATCGTGTGAGAAAGAGAGTCAAGATGAGAAGCGTAAGAAGAGATCTCCACCCTTGGTCACCTTTAATCTCAAACCCACCCATGAATCACGCTTGATATGAGAATTGATCCGGTACATCTCATTCTAATGTGCATCCAAGGGTGGAGATCCCTTTTTACGCTTCTCCCTTCAACTCTCATTCTCATCGGAACCCAACCCTTTATGTGTATGTATGTAAGGGTGGGAGATCAACAATGGCTACCTTCGTAGATCCTTAATCCCCCTTCTAATAATCTTCCAAGTCTATCAAAATTCCTTACGACAAAAGTGAAGTGGAAGTCGATGACACATTGGAGATATCAGAAACTAAGTGTCCAATCCCATTGAACACATGAATATCTACAAAACCGGTACCTATAACCTTGCACGCTACATAGTTCCTCATTAGAATGTTGTTCCCCTCCACTGCTTCAAATAAGAGAAATAACTCTTACCGGGAGTCATATGTGCCCCCAAAACCAAAACACATCGTTGGTTGACTACTTGAAGAACACAAGGTGTCGTTCATTGTTTCTTTTTGATCCTTGCCTCCTCGGACAATCCTTGACCCAATGATTCGATTAGCGACAATAGTTGCACTTATCATTCTATTTCAAATTTCCTCTCACCTAGGGTTGGCATGCCTCCTAGACATCTCTTTTTCATTGGCTTATCCACTAATGTCATCTCCTCCCACGGTTAACTATAGTCGAGTCGTAGTCCATTGTTTCATTTTTCTAAGTTCTTGTGGCAATTTATCTGGATCTCCATCAAAATAACACATATTTCCCATCAACACTGTTTTCATCTTCCATGGCTTCCATCACCATTCCACTTCTCATATTGTTATCACCTTGTTAAAGAAATTGTATCAACACCACTTGGTGTATACGGCGGAGGATCGTGTGAGAAAGAGAGTTAAGGTGAGAAGCATAAGAAGAGATCTGGACCTTTGATCACTTTTAATCTCAAACCCACCCATGAATCATGCTAGATATGGGGATTGATCCTGTGCATCTCATCCTATTGTGCATTCAAGGGTGAAAGATCTCTTCTTACGTTTCTCACTGAACCTAACCMTGGTTCGATTCCACCCGGGTTCGATTCCAGGGGAGGACAGGTTGTCTTTTCCGGTGCTTGCTTATGAGGTATGGCAAGTAGGGTTCACAAAATGTGGACCACGGGGCCATGAGGTCCCCGCCATTAAACCTTTTTTTTTTTTTAACCTAACCCTGGTGTAAGCAACAAAATTACTACCATTTTAAGCAACCAAAATGCCAATTCACTATAATACATATATCCGATACCACTTGTTGGGGGCAAAAAGCACTTTCGAGACAAGATGTGGCAAAGTCTCAAACGTCAAAATGATGCAATAAACCTACAACAACAGAATATGTGATACATCTACGATCCCAATGTGCACGATGTTCACAAATGAAGATGACATAACGATGCTACCACATTGTTACAAACGAAAGCAAATAAATTGCACGACGCTTTAACGCTGTTCCATGATATATCCATAGAGACGTTTACTAATATTGATAGATTGTTTACGGTCTCTTACATGGTAACTAAAGATTTGTTGCCTCTTACCAGGTAAGATATGTTTATTTGGTCAGAGATGATAGTCTTTACCAACAAATATATCGTGCCATTTTGCTTACCGAGCATTTTACTCAGTAAGTGAAGGTGGTGGCTTTTACCCGGTTACCACTTATCGCATAAGAGACGTTTATACTATGTAATTTGATGATCGAGAATTTATCCGGTAAGATAAGTAAAGGTGGTGACTATTATTAGACAAACGTTTAGGTGACGTTTGTTTTTTAAGAGGTGCTGAAGTCTGATTTTATTTCTGATTTTTAAGAGATGGTGTTGAAGTCTGAAATCTGAATTTTTGTTTTTACGTCTGAAGTCAGAAATCTGAATAAATCATATTGGTTATAGCAATGTTCTGTTTCAACATGGATTTGTATTTGTTTCTTTCAAGGTTTTAGTCAAATAACAAAAAAATTCAGTTTTTCTTATGGTGGGTGGAGTTAAAATCAGTTGTATTATGGAATTTGAATCTAATCTGTCGATTATAATTTTATCATGAGATTCGTAGAAGAGGAGATTGGAACATCAACAGGAGATGGTGATCTTCTTCGTTGCCTTCAGATTTTGATTATGTGTTTGTGTTGGTCGTGAGGAGAATCGTGGATCATTGTAAGATGGGCCACCTGTGAGAAAAAATTGATTTAAGAGGTATTAAGTGATAGGTTTATCACTTAAAAATTCAGAGGAAGAAAACATCATTTAAACTCTTATTTTGAAAAGAAAAAAAAACAAACGGTCTGAAAATGGAAATGTCTAAACGATTCAGACTTAAGAGGTGATTAAGAGGAAATTTCAAAACAAACAAACAAGGCCTTAATTTATGTTGGTATCGCTAAAATTTGAGAAAGTATGAAGTTGATCGAAATGTGACCACAAATCACAATAAAAACCATTGTCGCCCGTAAGCGACATACCCAGGTAGGTCGCTTTGCTTTCAAATTTGTCTGGTCATTTTATTAGTTTGTGATTTTGTATTATAATTTGAATGATCAAGTCCCTGAAGCATTTTAGAGTTGAAAAAACGTAATTTTTAACATTTCAATTATTTGTTCAAAAAAGTGTTCAATAATTTTATCATTTCAAATGAGAAAGTTCATTAATATTTTCATTTCCAAAAATAATTTCATCATCAAATTCCCTTTTACGGACCAAACCCCAAGGTGACGTTCGGTTCGTAGATCTGAAGAAATATGATGGAATCGGAATTTCATTAACCAAATTCCATTCATTCGTTTAGTTCATTCTTTTTCACGAAAGGAATCTTTAAAATCTAACAAATTCCACACATAAAAGAATTTAACATTTATTAGCAACTGCATGGTATTTTGATTTAATATAATTATCTATTTTCATAATACCAAATATGCCCTTAACCCAATATACTATAGTCTTATAAAACCCAATATGACAATCGTCGACCACCTTCGACCACTGTCGATCCGAATCACCACCACCACTGCCATCTAAACCACCATCGACCATCACCATCTGAACCACCGCTGATCTGAACCATCATCGGGCATTATTGATCTGAACCACCGCCGGCCACCCCCGATCTAAACCACCCACCGATATGAGACATTGTTGATTTGAACCACCGCTGATCACCGCCATTTGAACCACCATGGACTACTACCAATGTGAACCACAATTGACCATCGCCATCTGAACCACCACAGACCACCATCGATCTGAACCACCGCCAACTACTACCGATCTGAATCACTACCGCCATCGCCAATTTAACCATCGTCGACTATCGCCGATCTAAACAACCACCGATCTGAACCACCCCTGATCTGATCCGTCGCCGATCCACCCAATCTAAACCACCACCGATCTGAACCACATCCAACCACCGCCTGAAGCACCACGGACCACCACCGATCTGAACCACTGCCGACCACCGGTGACTACCACCGATCTGAATCACCGTCGACCACCATCGATTTGAACAACTACGGATCTGAACCACCACCGATCTAAACCACTGAATCACCGTCCATCTTAACCACCGTTGACTACCTCCGTTTGAACCACCGCGGACCACCATCGATCTGAACCACTATCGACCACCACTAATCCGAACCACCGCCGACCACCGTTGATTTAATAACGTCGTTTGGCTTATGATTATATTTGGGTTGTGTATTTCATATTGTTTTACATATTAAATAATTATTTTATTAAAATATTTTCTAGTTTTAGAAAAATTAAAATATTCAAAAAAAGGCGCATTTTGGTCATTTACCTATATTTCATTCCAATATTAAAGCTATATTCTGTGAACCAAACAGACAAATTCTAATTTCTTAACATATTCCATTTCAATGTTTGACAAACAAATAAATGGTCAAACCTGATATTAAGATCAACGGTTATTGAGTTAGACAGGTTTTAGAGACTAACGGTTTTTGTACAACCCTAATATTTCTCTATTTTGTTTCCGGTTTAAATATTTAATTATTATTTTAAATGATTATTATTTGAGCCATTGAGTTAAATGACCATTTCCTTCATTCAAATTGACTTCTTGACCATTTCTCTTCCGGATTGACCCAAATATCACTACTTCCGCAATACCTAGGTCCGCAATATTGCGTACTTAGCTAAAGACCAAAAATTTAACACAGATATGCAATTACGATGTACCAGGTCTGCTATTGCGAAGGTAAATTGGTTGAATTTGATATACTTTTTTATCTTTTAGCTAGGTCCGTACCCAACAGAGTGTTTTTGCCATTGGTATTCTTTCCGATCTTTCATGCTTTGGTGGGTCTCTGAGATCCTTTCGATGACGTATTAATATTTGGGTCAACCTGTAACAAATATGGTTAAGAGGGTGTTTGAGATTGCTTATAAAAATAAGTTATCGACTTATTCCGGAGTGATACCGATAATAAACACTTTTGAGTGTTTGAATAAACAATTTACACCGATGCCAAACCGGTAATAATATTTTTTGAAGAAGTTAAACCCTTCTAACCTATAATAAGTTGATAAATGCTTTTATAAAAATATACATCTTAAACCCATTTTTTTTGGGGAATTGACTGTTTTATTAAACAAATAATTAGCACCAAATCCCAATGGAATCTCGATCTCTTCTCGGATAAATCGATACATTTGTCAATCAAAAACCTTGATTCCTCCGTTCAAGCCTTCCACGCCCTCTACATTTTCTTCTCCACCGACCGCCGACGTCTGCTGCCGTCACCACCTCCGCCTTTGATATCTATTCAACTACTGCTACTTCCTACATTCTCTTTCGTCTTATTATGAAACAATCTTTTCTGAATGCAAAACTTGAGTGAAAAACTCGGAATCGGCGTTTCAATCAGCTGTTTGGCCTTCTCTTTATGGTAGAGTTGGATTTTTCAAGCTAAAATTCAGTGAACTAACTAGCTTTTTTGTATATTTATATATATGATTTTCTTTTGATCTGTGATGAATTAGCTACATTCCTTAATTATACGATTCATGCTCTGTCGTGTAGTAGAGATTTTATGCCTGATAAATGATTGGATCAATTGGTTTCTTCGTTTTCCTTTTGCCGTGGTTTGAGTCAAAGCAACAATACATGTCTGTAATGGATGATTTCGGTTGACAGTGGGTTAACTGGTGATAGAATGCATAACTTTTTGGGCTTTAACTTATGCTTGTTTTAATCCAGTGTTAGTCAGACTAATTGTAGACATTTCTCTACCAGGGAAACCCAATTCAGTGATTCTTAATGGCTCTGTTTTATGTGATGCTTGAATAAAATGGTTAGTCTTTAATCACCTTTTCAGCTTGATCTGTTTGAATTATTTAGTTTCATACCAATGCGGGATAGAATGGGCATCTTAATTAAGGGTTTTTAGTCAGGTTGAAACTAAAGGGCATTTATCACTATGCCATCATCACCCAGGTTTCCAATTAATTAGGGACTTGAAATACCTTTTCCATTCTTGAGTTGTCTCTCACTCCAAACTTTATGTTAATCTTGATGGAAGTTCTGTAATATATGCCTTCTTGTGACAAGATATATGATGTCTAGAGTTAATCATATAAAGCTACATATACAAATGAAGAGCATAAAAAATAGTATTATACTTACTGATCTTTATAAAATTGTAAGGCAAGATGACATGGAAAGGCTGCTTACTTTACAAGACATTTTGAAGCTATGAAAAAAATTCTGATTAGTTCTCTGTTTTTCCTAGTAGCAATGCAGAGCACAATATCTAGTCAAATTTGAGCTTGATCACAGATGTGGCACTGCATGATGTTTTTCTTTAACTGTTGATGCTATGATTGAATATCTGCAAGTGTTCTATTTACCTTTTAAAATGGCAAACTGTATATAACTATATGTTCCTTGATGACCTTGAGAACTACTATAGATGATTGTTTCCTAAATAGGGTTGCATCCTCTATGGTTCACCCTTTAAGTAACCATGATTTTATTTTGCAACTTTTGCAGTGACCTTTAAGGTGCTATCCAGAGGTCCAAAAGCACATATGGGCTCTAAGACCACACCAGCAAACAGAAGAAGAAGTCCATTATCTATAATTGTCGTGTTTGGTCTGTGTTGTTTCTTTTACTTACTAGGAACATGGCAGAGAAGCGGTTTTGGAAAGGGAGACAAAATAGCTATTGATTTAAGCAAGAAAACAGAATGTGAGGATGACTTTGCCACACTTGATTTTGAATCTCATCATAGTATTCCTATTCCTGATGCTTCCAAGCCAAAAGCCAAGGTTTTCAAGCCATGTGATGACAAATATACCGATTACACTCCTTGTCACGAACAGGACCGGGCTATGCAATTCCCAAGAGACAACATGGTATACAGAGAAAGACATTGCCCCCCTGAAAAGGAAAAGCTGAAATGTCTTATTCCAGCACCAAAGGGCTATTCAACTCCATTTCCATGGCCGAAAGGACGTGACTTTGTTCATTATGCCAACGTGCCTTTCAAGCATTTGGCAGTTGAAAAGGCCAATCAGCATTGGATAGAGTTTCAGGGCAATGTATTTAAGTTTCCAGGTGGTGGGACTATGTTCCCCCAAGGAGCAGATGCATATATTAATGAACTTGCATCAGTGATTCCTATTGCCGATGGTTCTGTCAGAACAGCGCTGGATACTGGCTGCGGAGTATGTTTTCCTCTTATCACTCATCATGAAATCCTATATGAAGTAAACATTGCCAGATATTATAGAACTAAATGCATATGGCATGAACAGGATCTATTTAAATTGACACGTTAATGTATTGGATGAAACTAAGTGGTAAGGGAACGTAATTATATAGGTTGACATACTTGCAAAATGAGGCTATTCGATTCCCTAATCCTTTTCTTACCAGCTCACGGTTATTATATCTGGTCGGTTCACTCCACTGAAATTTCCAATCTTGACATAGGTTGCAAGCTGGGGTGCTTACCTGATGAAGAGAAATGTTTTGACCATGTCATTTGCGCCAAGAGACAACCATGAAGCACAAGTGCAGTTTGCTTTGGAGCGTGGTGTACCTGCTATTATTGGTGTTCTTGGATCAATAAAACTTCCATTTCCATCAAGAGCATTTGACATGGCTCAGTGTTCACGATGTCTTATACCATGGGCCGAGAATGGTGCGTAATGTAGAGTAAATCATACTCTTTGCTGACTAAATAATCATAGATTTTGTATATAATATTTCAAGTGAAACTGTTGACCTCAAAATAAAATCCAGGAGAGGTTTTTTGTATTGACTAATCAGTAATTATGAGTACAATGTGTTTGAAGTATTCTAGCATGGGGCACAAAACACATATATGCCTTTAAGTTCTCATTTAACTTTGGACATGGCATAGTTGGTCGCTCACAGTTTTATTTTTTGATCCCATTGATACACCACAACCAAATATGAAAGTGTGATAATATTGTGGGCAGATGGGACATACTTAATGGAAGTTGATCGAGTACTTAGGCCTGGCGGATTTTGGATTTTATCTGGTCCTCCAATCAATTGGAAGACCTACTATCAGACATGGAAAAGGTCCAAGGAGGATCTCAAGGAAGAGCAAAGAAAGATTGAAAAGCTGGCTGAGTCTCTTTGTTGGGAGAAGAAATATGAGAAAGGGGATATAGCTATCTGGAGAAAGAAAGTGAACACCAAATCCTGCAAAATAAATTCTGCTGAGTTCTGTAAATCTGGTGATGCTGATAATGTCTGGTGAGTCAACTATGCATCTCACTTCGGTTTATCAATTTCTTTTCCATTCTTAGCATGAGAGAAGAGCTTCTATCCTTGATATGCAAATATGGACTTCAAGTTATTTTGAGATCAGAATATGGAACAGTGAACTGTGATTTTATCTCTGACTTGATTGCAAAATGAACTCATTTTAAGTTATTTAGAAGGTATTCTCCAGGGGTATCCAGAAATATGACTAGTTATATCATGACTTTGCAAGATTATATATGTATGTATGTATATCTTTTTACCATAACGTAATGACTACTTTGATTGACTAAGAAGTAAGAACCTATGGCTCATTTAGTATGCTTAGACCATCTCCAACCCATTACACTGTATTTTACACCAATTTGTTGTAAACACCAATTCTTCTCCGACCCATTACACTATTTCTTCGGCCAAAACAGAATATTCTTAGTATATTCTTGTTTAGCGATTATTATACAGATTTTCAATAATACCGTTGTATTTATGTACTTCATAGGTTGTTGTATCTTTGTGATATTTTAAAACTCATTGTATACTCTCAAAAGGGCATGGAAAACGTATTAGGCTGCGAAAAGGACACATGTGGGCTTGTTAACAGTTTTGTTTCTCTATTTATATATTTTTCTTAAATCATTACTTCATGATATAATGTAGGTACAAGAAAATGCAAACATGTGTAACTCCTTACCCTGAAATTACCACTGCAAATGAAGTGGCAGGAGGGGAGTTAAAGAAGTTCCCGGCAAGGCTACATGCAGTACCTCCTCGGGTAGCTAAGGGACTAGTTTCAGAGGTTTCAGTTGAATCCTACCAAGAAGATAACCAGAAGTGGAAAAAGTATGTTAATACGTACAAAAAGATCAACCGTTTGATCGGTACATCAAGATATAGAAACATTATGGATATGAATGCTGGGCTTGGAAGTTTTGCTGCCACAATCAACACGAACAAATTATGGGTGATGAATGTTGTGCCTACCATTGCTCCAAACACATTAGGTGTCGTTTATGAGAGAGGTCTTGTTGGTATATATCACGACTGGTGAGTTCCATAAACCTTCCTTATCTTTATATAAATGTAATATTTGACTTGATGCATGATTTAACAATTGTTTGGACTGCAAGTCAAATATTTAAAATAACTGTCAGTTATGCTGTTAATTGCGGCGCTATTTTTCCGGCATCAGTTTATGAATACTTTTCGTATTTTGTTTTGTGAAACTTGTTTAAGTTGACGTTTTAAGGTTGAAACTATATTTTCAATTAATGCATATGATATGTTTATGCATGCATACATACATACATACATACATACATACATATATATATATATATATATATAATAATTCTAAGAAATATTACATGAACGCTATTTTTGGACCGCTATTCCACCGCTATAACCGCTATTTCAAATATCTATATATATATATTATAATTCTAAGAAATATTACATGAATGCTATTTTTGGACCGCTATTCCACCGCTATAACCGCTATTTCAAATATCGGTCGTGACTGCTATTTTATATTTTGACCGCTGTAACAGCATAGACTGTCAATAACAACAAAATAGCAGGATCTTTTGAGCCAAAATCATATTCCAATATTTGTAAATGATTGCGGATGAGAAAACAGAGAAATGTGGATTGAAATGTTACACAAGGAAATGTTGCGGTTATTTTGTGGTGACCCAAATATCGAGTTGCATTAAGAGTACCGTTATCTTTAATTACTAGGATTTTACCGCAGTTTTGGTATTTTCTTTCATTCAGGTGTGAGGGCTTCTCAACCTACCCGAGAACGTACGACTTCGTTCATGCTAATGGTCTTTTCAGCTTGTACAATGACAAGTAAGTCTCTTCATCTTTCAAAATAATCGTGTTATGTTTTTCCACATGGTAACTGAACCATTCTCAATCCTGAACCTCAATCCTAAGTTACTCTCGGTACAATCTTTGTTGCCCTCAACTGGAAAATAAAACAAATACTCCCTCCTCCTTGGAAACAAGCTAGGGACCATATTGAATAAAGTACTTGACCTATAATTCCGTAGTTTTAGGCTATGTTTGGCAAACTAACTGATAAGCTAGTGTAGCTGTAAGTTGAAAAACTAATTGATGACTGGTAAATTGACTGTCAACTTTTGGTAAAATCTAGTTGATGAAGTTAGATGACAATGTAAAATGATCTAAAACAACATATTGAAAAATTACTCAATTCTAACATAAATATTGGAAAGAAAAAGTGAAAAGTGCCATTGGATCCTATTGAAAAGCTAGTTTTTTAATAAGCTAGTTTATGGCTTGACCAAACAGGACCTTTTCAAAATTTCAAAAAATAAGCTAGGTTATAGTTGTCAAACATGGCCTTCGTGTTTATATTACTATCATACAACTATACAAGTACTTGTGACGAAAGCCCATGTTATAAATATGTAAACATGCTTTTTCTTATAGCCAAACTTGTGTAACATGTATAACTTCAACTCCAACTCCAATTCCAACTCCGCATTTGACTAAATAGGTGCGAGCTAGAAGACATCCTCCTAGAGATGGATCGGATATTGAGGCCAGAAGGGTTAGTCATTCTCCGTGATGAAGTAGATGTGTTGACAAAAGTGATGAAGATAGCCAGTGGCATGAGATGGGATACAAAACTAACGGATCACGAAGATGGACCCTTCGTCCCCAAGAAGATCTTGGTCGCCACTAAACAATACTGGGTTGGCGGCATAGGCAACAACACAATCTAGTGAGTCGTAAACTAAACTATATCTTCATAGTTCCGTATGCAAAAGTGATCATTTTATGAATATCCTTAAACCCTAAACCCTAAACCATGCCCAAATCAGGATCTTTTTCCCAAAAGAGGAAGATAAATATTTGGATTTCTCAAATGGTTGCATAATGAAACTAGAGACTTGTAGGATTTGTGGTTTTATTGATGTAATCAAGTGCAAAGTCTTGTGTTGGCATTCATTCATGCCGACATTGAGGAATTAGGAAGGAGAAAGGAAAGATGGTTATAAGTTACATGATTTTGCTTATTTTTGGGGAGTTGTTATGGTTGAGCATTTAAACAACTAGTGATGTTATTTATTTGTTGGTCAAAAATCATGATTTCCAAAGAAAATTTTGAGTAAGGGGGACGTTTATCTAAATGCTTACTCAGTATGTGCTTACTGGTCACCAACAAGATTCTAATCCATCAAAAGAGTACCGTATGTGGTAAATGCTAACCGGGTAAGTCATCAAATTCACTTACCGGGTAAGTCATCAAATTCACTTACCGGGTAAGGTAAACGACTACTAACAGTAACTTTTAACTTCGATTAAGAGTGACGAGATGTTTACCAATACATCAAATTAGTTGTGAAAAAATAATATTAACTTAAGATTCTAATCTTAGATGAAGTGATTAGTTGAAGTTTGTTGTCATGATTCTCAATATATTTTAAGCTGTTAGAAGGGTATTTGTGTAATACAACGAGATAAATCTCAATTTTAATGTTTAGTTTTTATTATATGTCTCTATTGATATAATATAATTTTATGTAGTTTTGAGAAAGCGATAATGTTTATATTTTTGAATGAAATATAAATTTGAAGATAGCATAAAAATTTGAAAAAAATAAATCGATATTAGTATCAAATTAAGTATTTAATAGTTCTCGTTTTTTGGTGTAACTTTTTTTAATTCAAAATTTTGTTATAATTTAATTTATATTTAATAACAAAATAATTTATTTTAGGTTTAATAATATAATATTTTATAAAGATAATAATTAAATATTTTGTTGTAACTTAATAATTATCTTAATTATATTTTAAATTTTCTATATTTAAAATGAATGTTTATTCTGTATTTGATTATGTTTATCTACAGTTACTTACACAAATTTAAAGATAAAACTTTAATAAGTTGTACTTACGCAAAATTAATTGTAATCTTGAATTTTAAGTAATGTGCATCAATAAAGAGTAATTTATGCATACAAATGATTTTTAAGAGTTTTTGTCAAATGTTTTATAATAAAGTATAGATAATGTATTTTGGAACTTAAAGAAAGTTACGTACTCCATATCAAAATAAATACATTTTTTGATTGGTTAATATCTTAGAAAACACATAATAATGACTATATAGATGTGTTCTTTTAGTATCTTTAGCAAAACAAATAAAATAGCTGATTAATTTTTGTGAAATTTTTATTTATATGTTTCAATAGATCAACTTATTAGAGACATACTTACAGTGTTACAACAAAATACTCTCATTAAAACACCCAAAAGTGATAATAAAATATTGAATTGGACTTTTTGGTTATGGGAAATGATGACTTACACAAGAAATGTTTGTAGAATGGCGGATTGAAATTGAAACACTCACAAAGATGTTCTTCAGAGGATAACGCCGATTTTGCTTCAGAAACACTCACAAAGATGTTCTTTCAGAAAATGTGAGTAACACTAAATGACAAAAATGACTTACTCCATCCTTTTGTATGCCGAGATAACAATAAAGCAAGTAAAGTACCAATACGATGGTGATTTTATACTTGCTTAGACTGACATGTTGTACATGTTCTCATACCAAGAAGGAAGTAAGAGAATTGGTGAGCCAAACTTGGTGGCCAAATTTATACTTCAAGATTTGGCTTGCCAATAGTAGTATTTGCCATATTACTAGTTGACTTTATCTTGTATTGATCTTCTTTTTGAGTAGATAACAAACCAATCCGCTTTGGTGACTCATGCGGAATCGGACCGGAGAAAGCTATTCATGCAGAATCGGATTGGACTAGAGAATGCCTTTAATTGCTATATGAAGTGGAATATCCAGATGCAAACTGTGTTACCAGCACAATATGCAAATTGGTTGCCTAGATCTTGAACTCACCTCAACTAGTCTTCGCTTTTGTTGAAGACATTCGGTTTTTGGATCAATACAAATAGATACAAGACTTTTACAAGTAAAAGTCCTATTTTTTATATATCCAAAGTATAGGCTATATATCATATTTACCAGCTATAGAACTTTATGTAGGTGCTACATCGGATATTGACTAAGAGTTGGTAAGAATAGAAACCTTTATCCGACAGGAGAATCAATCAGATTAGGATTGGATGTGTCTTGATGACAATCAACTGTATGGAGACAGATCCATGTGTGGTATATCTGAAACCTAAAACAACATGATCAGATGATATCAAATGAGGTAATATCCGATAAGTGAAGTTCGTAAGATATGTACCTTGTGAGACAAGGTAAACAAGAATATTTCTTTCTAAGTATTTGGTCGGATGCTCTGAGTGTTATTCTCAAATCCTATGGTTGAAATCAATAATCTCCCCCTATTTGTTAATAATACAAATTGACATTTCTTATATAAACACTTACAGGAAAATGGTACCGAAACTCATTAAGCAGAAATTGAAATCTGAACTCATAAATTCAGTGATCCATCTTTGGGATTCCTTTTGCCTTTTATTCTTTTTGTTCTTTTCTGTTGATCCTCTCTCTCAGTGATTTGATGATAATCCATTTTTCCTTTCGATGTATTTTGTGTTTCTGTACTTTCAGTTCCAGCGATCAATACACTGAGCATGTTCAGTGATCGCTGAAGAACTCGCATTGTAATTCATTCAGAGACAACGATACTTCAAGAAAACAACACTCACACCAAAGATCCTTCAGC